TGAAATCCCTTTGTTTCGTCTGATGAACTATATAGTTTTTAATCGTAACACAAGTGTGCACGTTATCCACGGTGTATCATCATAATAACCATTCAAAAAATGTAGCTTAAATTGTTTAACGACGTTAAGAAGCTAAAAACGCAAATATTTCAACTGATTCGGAGCGCATCAAGCTTGTTGGTCGAGTCGAACTGAAAATAACGATATTTCAGAATTTTTGGTGGTGTTTTCGCGGACATATCAGCCGAAAACCATCGGAAGTGCTTCAACCATATTCAGTGTATTAGATGTCCCTCTAGTGGACCGAACCTGTAACAACAACCACTTGCTATAGTGGCACTGGCGATCCATAAGCATGTGTAATGTCGTAAATATTAATAATAGGATAAATTTTAGCATTTAATATTCGAATATTCAAATATTACATAAAAAAAGGAATGGAATTCGAATAATATTCTAGATCTTCGAGATCTTGAAGCAGAAATGATGGAGAAACATACGTAAACATACCAGCATCCGTCACCATGATCGATGATGGAATGATTATCGCGCAAAAAAAAAAAATCACGCTAGTCGTCGCATAACATCGGTTAGTGGAAACACCGTCATTTCGCAATCATTTTTTAACGACATTTAGAAAATATCGCACACGTTTAGCGCAATTTCTTTATTGTTCATCAGCTGGGAAAAACTCCAATAACGATCCAAACTCCAGTGTTATTATTAACACTCTGCTGTGGTGTAAACTTTATTTCACTCCGGTTGGGTTTTCTACGGAAGAGTTAGTCGTGAGGATCTTCATCGTTCTCTAATCGAGTCCTCAACAACACACACACACACGCAGCCACACACACAACAAAACAATTAAAGCCCTCTTGCAATCCTAAGCTGTTAAACAACAAGAATTGATTGGGTCATTACAGTTTTTGCCAGATGGTTTGGAGTGGAGGGTGTTAAATTAGAGAAGTTGGCAGTTACTGTGTATTTTTGATGAAAGATTAACACGAAGACATTAGGTGTGTTCGACTCGAAGATTGGTGTATAACATCAAAGTAACGCAAGAGTGATTCAAGAGCATTCAGATCAGTGCGTTCTCGAATCGCTCTCGTGCGGCGCAACTTCGAGCCGAACACACCTATCCTGATTAACGTGCGTGAATCATTGAGAGCATTACGTAAAAATGCCGGATAAGAACAGAGACAGTTTCTAACGATAACAGTGAGGCCCTTGACGTGGGCCCTAAAAATGCCATCTCAGATTGTTTGGAAGTGAGAGAGACTTAACGACTAGCCAAACCACATATCAGCCAACGAACCCCCTTCATCACGTCTGCCATAAACACCAGACACACATTCCCAACAGCACTAAACACCTGTGCCTTTCCGTCCCCATTCCCCCTCTTCCGAGACGTTCACAGACTTCACACACACACACACACACACACACACGAAGAGCTCTTTAATACAACCTCCCCGTAGAGTTATTTATTCCCCTCTGGAAGGTAAAACACAAGAGTGAGAGACGTCAGCCGGGTTAACCTGTAAACAGAGCCGGGTTGCTGGGATATCCAGGACGGATATAAGAATTAGGGGACAGACAGAGACGTTCTGCCCCTCAAGACAATAAAAAGGGATTGAAGGAGGGAGGGAGGGTGTGTTTTTATCTTTGAGCAAACATGCTGTAAAACACACACAAAGCTGTGATCAGAAACAATGGTGCTGGTCTGTGAGTGTGTCAGGGGTTGCAGGAAGGAAGCCAACTTAACACAACTCAACAACTGAACACAACTCACACAACTCAACTCACACAACACAACACAACTCAACAACTGAACACAACTCGACCCAACTCAACAACCTGAACACAACTCACACAACTCAACTCACACAACACAACACAACCCAACTCACACAACACAACACAACCCAACTCACACAACACAGGCTCAACCAAACTCAACCCAACCCAACTGAACCCACAAAACACAAACCCAGCTCCAAAACAACACAACCCAACTCAACTCAACCCACACAACACAACACATCTCATACAACTCAACTCGCACAACACAATCCAGCTCAACCCAACACAACACAACTCAACCCAGCTTAACTCACACAACACAACACAACCCAACTCACACAACACAACACAACCCAACTCACACAACACAGGCTCAACCAAACTCAACCCAACCCAACTGAACCCACAAAACACAACCCCAGCTCAAAACAACACAACCCAACTCAACTCAACCCACACAACACAACACAACACATCTCATACAACACAACTCAACTCGCACAACACAATCCAGCTCAACCCAACACAACACAACTCAACCCAGCTTAACTCACACAACACAACACAACCCAAACTCACACAACACAACACAACCCAACTCACACAACACAGGCTCAACCAACTCAACCCAACCCAACTGAACCCACAAACACAACCCAGCTCAAAACAACACAACCCAACTCAACTCAACCCACACAACACAACACAACACATCTCATACAACACAACTCCAACTCGCACAACACAATCCAGCTCAACCCAACACAACACAACTCAACCAGCTTAACTCACACAACACAACACAACCCAACCCACTCACACAACACAACTCAACCCAGCTCAACTCAAACACAAGCCCAACCCAACTCAACTCACACAACACACAACTCGCACAACACAACACAACACAACTCACACAAACCAACCCAACTCAAACTAACCCAAATTGCACAACACAACTCAACTCGCACAACACAACACAACCCAGCTCAACTCAACTCAACTTACACAACACAACCCAACACAACACAACTCGCACAACACAACCAGCTCAACCCAACTCAACTCACACAACACAACCCAACTGACACAACTCAACTCGCACAACACAACCCAGCTCAACCCAACTCAACTCACACAACACAACCCAACGGACACAACTCAACTCGCACAACACAACACAACCCAACTCAACTCAACTTGCACAACACAACCCAACCCAGCTCAACCCAACCCAACACAACCCCCCAGAGAAGATGTGATGAGAAGAACTGGAAAACCAAAGGTTTGGAGGAAATGGAGACCAAATGTCTTGAGCAACATCAAGCCTCAATAACAATATGCACACATGGTACTGCTTTAATCTTTTATAAAAGTGTATTTGAATTATATTTTTTTGATTCAGAATGTATTTAGAACATCTGTTATTTGCATCCAATTGAAGCTCAAAGACAAAGAATTGAATCCAACCACCATCTAAAACTTTTCGGAACCGCAGTGATCAGGGGCTTTCGTTCAGGAGACTTCCAGGAACAGCCACCAGGGGGTTCCCGAGAACCAGTGGCTCCCCATGGGAAAGTTTTCCTGTTGTATTCACACCGCCAGTAGGAACTCTGAAGGACGCAAGACACCTTGAAGAGCTGCCGACTCGCGCATTGCCTCTCTATTTTACTCTACATTAATTTTCCTATATAATTATACTTTTAATAAAAATACTGGTTACATCAATTGACAAAAAACAGTTACACCACCTGACCATGTTGTCTCTACAGTCAAAGACCATTGTTTGTTGAAATTGTGAATTGTTCTCTTGTTTATGCTGCTATTTCCGCATGTAAAGCTAAACCTTTGTGGTATTTTTAATTGTCACAGACACCATCTATTCTAATCTTAACGGTTAATGGTCGACTAATGAGCTTTGGTTGTCAGTCAGGAAAATAATCTAGCCTAAATGATCAAAATGCTGTAAGATTTACCATGCAACAACACACACAAGTTCACAGTCACACTAACTCAAAACTAGCGTACACAAGCGGAGATCAGGCCGCCTGAGATTTGATTTCACCACCAGTCAGATCCATATTGATAAATGGCACGTTTTTTGCATTTTCTGTGTACATTTGCTTCATAAATGAGGCCCATGAAGTCCACATGTCATGCAAACAAGAAACTTTACTTCTAACCACAGGTCTATAGATGTCGTTACAATCACGCAACTCTGTGATGCTGTTCACTGGAACTATGATCGAACTTACGCTACCAGTCAGAGGATTTGGATCGGATTAAATGCTTTTAAAAGAAGTCCCTTCTGCTCACCAAGGCTTCATTTATTTCATTAAAAATACAGTTAAAAACTGTAATTTGTGAAATATTATTACA